ACGGGCGGGTTTTTAGCCCTCAGGCAGGTTGATTCCCGGGGCGCGCAATAGCAGTGACAGCCTTTTAGGTCGCGTAATGCAACTGATTACTCGATGTTTTGTTGAAACAAAAACTATTATTAGTGTAAGAAACTATATTGCTTTGATCGCAAGTTTATTTTATTTTACAGGTACGCTACAAGAATAGTATAATCACATGCACAACGGCTTATTGCTCGGGTCGACGCTTTACAACGGGGCGCTAAATCTTTGCTTGCTTGTACGAATAAAACCAAATATTTTGGAAACAGCAAGACGCATCACACAAGGGTGCATCAGGATTAACAGGGGAATTCTAAAATCAGTTCTGACTTATGACTTTAGGGTAGCCACTCTAGAAGCTTTCAGGCCACACTTCCGAGCGATACACGATGAAAAGTAGGGTTTCCTAAGTTCATATAGGTTTAAGAAGCGCAATTATGAATCGAACAAGGTTGGGCTGAGAAACTAGGAGGTTTTCAACAAATTGACCAAAACTATCCAAAACTAGCCGCTTCTTTCTTTCCAAGGCGAACTTCCTGTAAGCATAGTTTTAGCGCTGATCTTACGTTGTCCGGCAGCGGCTGACAATTCTGAACAGCAAGACTGTCTTGTTTCCAGTTTCCACAGAGCATGCTTTTACAAATATGAAATACTTTCTTCAGAGTGATCGTCGAGCCCGGAAAGGTATCGGTAAAATTTTATCGGTAATATCGGTAATACATAGTCATGATTTTGGCCCAAAATTTTTTCCGTTGATTGCACCCGTGCTGTCAAGCCGAGAAGCTAGAAGGCTCGACAAAATATATTTGATAATGTCTCCCTTGCGGATGCGTCTTGCTTTTTCTAAGATATTTGGTTTTATACGTACAAGCAAGCAAAGGTTTTATCGCCCCGTTGTAAGGCGCTGCCCTGATCATATATACAATGAGCCGTCGTGCACGTTATTATACTATTCTGGCCGTTAAAATAAACTTGCGATTAAAGCAATATAGTTTCTTACACTTATAATAGTTTTTGTTTCAACAAAACATCGAGTAATCAGTTGCATTACGCGACCTAAAAGGCTGTCACTGCTATTGCGCGCCCCGGGAATCAACCTGCCTGAGGGCTAAAAACCCGCCCGTGTTTCCTTAAGTTTTTGGCAGGTTGAAAAAAATCGCAATCAGTATCGATTTTTTAAGATTTATTCATTGGCATTATGAAAAAAACCCCCGAAATTTGTCGTGTTTGTTTGATTTATGTTTTTAAAAGTTTTTCCAATGAAAATATGTATAAATGTCACAAAATAATACTATTAAAAGGTTTACAAAAGTAATTCCCCGATAATGCTCAAGAACCTAGAGTTTTATAGCTTTATTCAAAAATTACCTAAAAACGATCACCATAAAAAAATGGAGCAATTTTTGGCCGCAGCGTATTATATCCCAGACGCTATTAAACTATGCAGAATTTCCGTTTCTTAGGTCCAAGAAGCGCTTCGAGGTTGGTGTATGGATGTATGCGCTCGATATCCTGAGGTAGTTTTCACACAAAAAAATGTATAAACTCCCTATCCAGGTGGCCGTCGTCGACTTCACTTCCTCGTGGCGCGACGGGCACGCGTTCAACGTGTTGTTGCACAACTTCGAGTTGGTCAAATGATTATCCACAGTTTTCTATGCTCTTTTCAGCCACAAGCTCGTCAAAATGGCGGAGATTGCCGACATGTCGGCGCTCGAACGGCTTGAGCACGCTTTTGCGGCGGCCGAACGACTGGGGGTTCCGAGGCTGTTGACGGGGAAAGGTCAGTGTCATTAAATGTAAAATTTTTTGTAAAATTTGAAGCTTTAAAACTAAGAACGGCAAACTAAAAACTAAAGCGGTTATACACCAAAAAAACTAGGTAAAGAAAATTATTTGGTACTGTGCTGTTGGCGGGGGGGCGGGCGTTTAGCTTGGGGAGTTAATTTATAGTTGTCCCGTCTGTTAAAAATACATAGTAGACTTTTATAGTTTATAGTTTTATAGTTTCGCAAGCCAGAAAGTTCAAATATTTAGAAACTTAAAAATTGACAAACTTATCAATTTTTTGATAATTTTTTTGATTGTTTGAGGTGTATTTACATAAAAAACCGTCGAAAATGCTATAACAAATAATTTATATAAAAAATGGGGCCGGGCGGGATTACCGGGGGAAATTTTGCTTTCCTCCCCCTCCCCCGCTAACAGGCCAGTACCGATTAATTTATAAAGTTAAAATTTTCCCGAAAATTTTTGGGGGTTACCTAGGTATTGTTAGGATGTCTTTCTCCCGCCGAGTGCCTTCATATGCTAATCTGACACAGTCGAATGCCCCCAGCCGGCTCAACCTCCAGCCCCCACATCTAGGCTGTATGCCCAACCCCCGGCATTCACCCAAATAACAAACAGTTTTCGGTGGCTACTTGGACAAATTGTTTTCTTTACTTTCAAGGGACGGTGAAGGCTGGATTCCTGAGGGAACTCTGCTAGCTTGCCGCGCGGAGTTTGATGCGTTTTGGGATGCTTTTGCATTATCGGGGGGACCTAATTTTTCTCCTACAAATCTAGAAATTGCTAGCAATATAAAAGTAATCTTTTAAAAACTATCTTTAGTAAATTTTAGCATTATTTTAAGGGGAAAACTATCTAAGCAAATCTAAAAATATTGAAATTTTGGTCAAAAATCGGAAATTTTGACATAAAAATCGATATTTTTCTTTTAATAAAAAACCTGCGAAGTTCTGACGTTTAGACAGCATAGAACCATGCACAAAAATGCTCAAATTTAATTAAGTTTGATATCTGATACCTACAAAGATGAAAAACCTACAAAATTTAAATTTAAATTTACGCTGCTTCACATTTTTCATGTCTTGATTTGATTTAGTCCGAAGTTTCAAATCTATAATTTTCGCTCATGGATTTGCCTTCGAGGTTCCTTTAAAGCCCCGGGCATCGTAGATAATATTCATCAGCCATCCCCACCGATCAGGCTTTATCAACACTCCTCTCTGGCTCGAGATCCGGCTCTGCTAATTCGAAAGCTCTTTCTGTCGTTCTCCCCTTGTGTCGGATTGGAATCGGCTATCGATCTTGCCCCAGGCAACATTCACTCTCTCTCTCTCTCTCTCTCTCTCTCTCTCTCTCTCTCTCTCTGCCACTTTTTCTTGTCTTTGTCCTTGGCCACAACCCCCTGTCGACTTGTTTTATGGGGGCAATTCGTGGATTGTGTAGGGCTACATTGCTATTAGGTGGGGTGGAGGTCATGGATTTTAAAGGGTCATTGAAGCCTGCGTTTTTCCGCACATGGCGTTTGCTAGTTACCTGTCTCCCCGACCTCTGCTTTGGATATTTTGACTATTTGCCAGCTTAAAATCGAACTAAAATTACTGAGAGATGTCCACAAGGAAACTCTGCTAGATTGCCGCACTCGTGGCTTTAAGGGAAGCTTTTGCATTATCGGGGGGAACCAATCTTTTGCTATGGATCCGATTTTTCTGATAAATCTAAGGTGTGTGTCTAAGCGGATTTTTACTAGTTTTACTATATAAACTACATAAACTATATATTTTTACTATATAAACGTAAAAATGTTCACAGCTTTTAATTAAAAAACATCAAAAATTATTTTTTTGGATGAAAAATCCACAATTTTCATGTTTTTTAGATAGTTTGCTACTTAAAATATACTTAAACATTACTAAAAACATTACAAAAAGACTGATTTTTAGGCTAATAGGCTTTTCTCCTTTCATCCAAAAAATACCCCCCGTTAAGGCGACAACTCCTCCAAGGCTCTATGAAGCGTAATTCGAGGGTAAAATCACCAGTTTTACGGCCAATTTCCGTTTCAATCCTATAGACGTCGTATCCAGCGGGCCCCTTCCGGTGTCCACCCCTTTTTTGATGTCCGCCCCCTCGGGGTGGACAGGTGAATGGTGTGGCAGGGGGGACGATCATGGGTCCCGATTGAGGAGGCCATTCAATCCCTCTCTCGCTCTCTCTCTCTCTCTCCCTCTCTCTCTCTCTCTTTCTCTCTCTCTCTCTCTCTCTCTCTCTCTTCTCTATATGTTGGTTGACGTTTTGCGCAATGGTTGATGCGAGAAGACGGCATCCCTTCTCGGCCCAGCCACCCGATCGTTCGTTAATCCCCAGTCATACCTCACCATACCAGACAATCCCTTACTACCCCCCTCCCCCCGTTAATGCCCTAATACCTACAGATTTCTTGGCGTCAAGGGGTTTTTGTGGGCCATAGATTTTGTGGTCCTTTGGTATTATCGGGGGGAACGGGCTATCAGGGGCTTTTGGATAAATCTAAAAAGGCCGAATATCGTCATAGTCGGTATTTTGATAGAATTTAAATATATTTTCGAAACGCGAAAACTCCAAAATTTTGCAACAAAAATGAAATTGAAGTCGAAAACCGGAATTTTTGATAGAAATATCGATATTTTTTGAATTTATTGAAGTAAATTTTTAAACGTTTTACGTTTATGAATAGAAAAAGTCTATGTAGAATTGTGAAGATTTTATTTTTATTTTTAGATTTTGTTTTAGGGCGAAATCCACCTTCTATCCGCCCATTTTTCCTGTAGTTTTTTTGAAGAAAATGAACGGTGCCGAGCAGGGCCATAAATCAATCTCAATCCCCCTCGGAAAGCGTTTAGTGACCATGTTTTATTGTTAGGGAAGGGGCTAATTAGCATCTCTCTCTCGCTTTCTCTCTCTCTCTCGCTCTCTCTCTCTTTCTCTCTCCTTCTACATTCCCAGATGGCCTGTAAGTGGTTGCAGAACACAGCCCTCAATATGTCTGGGCACCCGCCCAACAACACAGAGATTTGTGGCGTAGATTTGGATCGTCTCTCTCTCTCTCTCTCTCTCTCTCTCTCTCTTTCTCTATCTTTCGTTTTTTTTTCCTGGCGGCGGTGTGCTGATTGATTCGAGAAATGGCTAGGGTTGACCCTTGCCCCGGCAAATCCGACTTTGGAACGTTCGGAACTTTTCTCTTTCGTGAAAAAGCTGTGAATTTTTGCCTTCGCTGCCCCTTTAAAAAATCTGTGAATTCTTATAGACTCTATTAATGCGTTTTGGACTTATTTTTAGACATATTCCCTTTTTCCGAAAGAATGAGAGGGGGAAAAAGAGAGAGAGAGAGAGAGAGAGACAGCGAGAGAGATCTGTTTCCGGTTGACACCTCTCTTCCTCTTTCCCCGTTATCACTTTCCATCCCCTCTAAAGGGCTTATTTTATGGCCTCCACCCATAAGTTATTTGACGCCTTTAGAAAAACTGTCTGCCCAAGGCCACACGCATTTTAAGCCCACCTTTGAAGCCTTTTCCTGACGCTAAATCCTTTCTTTTTCATGTTTTTTCTGGTCAACCCAGCCAAATTTCACAAGGCAAGCCAGCAGAAACCCTTTGCGAAATTACATAGGATTTTTTCGCCCATTTTTTTTAGCTCAATTCCAATTTTGCGTCCATTTTTTGGGCCTCTCTGTGGGTCCTTTGGCTGGGTCGAATTGATTGATGGTCGTCTCCGGGTGGTGTATTTGATCGAGTCTTTTCCTTTCGTCTTTTCTCAGACCCCCCGAGGGGGCCAACAATTTCGATTCGGACCACGGGGCTTTTCAGTCGATTTTTTTTGGCAGTTTCCGGATCAGGAAAGTCGGCATTTTTGGCTGGAAAGCTCACTGAATTTTATCTGATTACGCCATGTAAATGGGACGCTATTTTCCGTTTAATAGTCCTTTAAGAGCTTATGAAAAGGCTTTGCGTCCTTTGCCCTCCCTCTCTCTCAATTCCCAAATGGTCTCTGCTAGCCTGCCCTCCCTCTCTCAATTCCCAAATGGTCTCTGCTAGCCTGCCCTCCCTCTCTCAATTCCCAAATGGTCTCTGCTAGCCTGCCCTCCATCTCTCAATTCCCAAATGGTCTTTGCTAGCCTGCCCTCTGTTTCCTATTCATCCCCAACCAGGGTTGAAAAGCCGCTTCGCGACTTTTCAACCCTGGCCGATCTCTTCCCATGAATTCTTTACTTTGCATAATTCTCACGATTTTCGATGACAAAAAATGAGAAACGCTACCTCTCTTTCTTTATATTGGCTATTGCAACTTCCGGGTTATGCTAATTGTTTCCTAACAAAGAGGGTGGCCGATTTTTCAACAAAAACTTGATTTTAACGTCGAAAACAGCTCATTTTTGAAGATTTTATTGGTGTGCAGTCATCCCCAGGCCATGGCGCACCTAATGACGTATCAAACATGCCATTAACTACTCCCCTTATTGAGATACTACTGGAACAACCTGACGGAAGTTGCATGCAAATGTACACAGACACACACACAGACACTATTTTTTTATATATAGTAGGATCCCGTGCTATCCCCTATAGCATTTTCTGGGTGATAAATGATCCAAGTGAAAACCGGCTCCAACCGGATGTCCCTGCAACTTGCACGCATTTCCGGTCAATTCTCGTCATTGGCCAAGGCCATTAGGTGTTTTTGGTTTCCTAGTCCCTTTAGCTGTTCCACCAATCAATGCCGTCTCTCTCTCTCTCTCTCTCTCTGTCTCTCTCTCTCACTCTGTCTAGTCATCAGCTTATGATTCATCCCGTTCCCCCTCGGGTCAGCCGTCTGTTATTTCGGGGCCCTCTTTTTTTTTGTTGATTGCCCTCCGTTCTGCTTCAAACAACAATCATTTAGCTAATAGTAGCTAGTATTTGGAAAATTCGCTCTCTCTCTTTCTCTCTCTTTTTTTCTCTCTCTCTCACACTCTCTCTCTCACTCTCTCTTTCTCTCTCGTTCCCCGCCTACCACCTATATCTTATCAACTGACACTGCTTTCATCAGTGCCGATTTTTTTTGGGTGATTTCTGGGTTGCATGCAAGCTCATTCCCAAATTGTCGCTGCTAGCTAGCCGCCTCTCAGGTTTCTAATCCGCCTTTTAAGCCGGAATTTTTATGCATAGGATCCATTGCTGCTTCAATACCGCGATTCCCAAAAGATCTCTGCTAGCTTGCCCAGCCATGCTAATTTTCTGAACCAAAGAACAAAAAGGTGTCGTATTGCATTACGCGATGGAAGTGGGGAATCTGCGCCCAAAAAAGGGCATGACTTGCCAGCTCCTTTAATACGATTCGTTCTAATTTCATAGCGTAATTGGTCGGTGAATTCGCTGCTAGTTAAGAATTGAACTGAAACTCAAAATTGAAAAACTGACACCCCGGCTGTACTCAGACCCCAGCTGGTGCTCCTCCTCCTCCTCCTCAAAAACTCATAACGACCCGAGTCGTGCCAAGTGTTAATTGTCAAATTGCAGACCTCCACAGCGAATATCTGGACAGCCGCTCGGTGGTCGTCTATTTAATGTCCCTATATCTTTCTCTACTCGCACATTCTGATCGATCTGAGAGGCATACTACTACTACCATTCTGCCGCACGTAAGTTCAAACCGTTCAGGGAATCGGGATCACACTCTCTCGCTTGCTGTCTCTCCCTCAGGCCTGGGAATTTTGCGGGCCGAGAAAAATCGGCATTTTTCGGGCCGGGCCGGGCCGGGCCGAGAAATTGAAAAATGCCGGGCCGGGCCGGCCCGGGGGTTGTTACATAGTCTAAAAATACCTTTTTTTGGGGGGAAATTGGGACTTATTTTGCATATTTTCGCTCACGAATAGTCGATTTAGCGTTATTATACAGCCTCAATAAAAATTTGGTCCTTTTCTTGACTAAGTCCCTACCAGGAAATCGGTCCAGGTTCGACCCCGCCCGGCGGCTTTTTTTGCTTTTTGAATTTTTATGTCAGCGCGACCGGATTTTTTCTTACAAGGAGTCGTTTTTAGGTGATATTGGAGTTTTTGAACGAGACCTAGCTAGTTCGATAGAGAAAAAAATTCTGAACAAGATGTCGGTTTCGAAATCTGCTAACCGTGTACGCCGTTCAATAAAAATTAATTTGAAAATCATTAATCTAACCAACATTTTCCGCCTGATCCGCAGATTCTGCGCTCTGGGTGCGCGTCAACATAGCCCCCTTTAGGCCTCCCTACAGCCATGACCAGCTGGCCTATTGGTAGTGCGCTTGCTTCATAAGTTTTTGTCTTTTTTTGCCAGCGGGTTCGACTCCTCGCTAGTAAAACTCGTTTTCTTTTTGCTCGATAATGCCAAATTCGATTTCAATGGCATGAAAAACAAAAAAGCAAAACAATAGATCACAATAAGTTCCGAACCCTGGGCATAATTTTGCAAAAGTTTGATAGGCGCCGGCACTATCCACTCGGCCACGATCTCATGCGGATGCTGGTTCGCCCTGTGGGCTATGTCCCGGGCCTGATCCATGGGTCGCAGCCTGACTTCCAGGAATTTTTCGATTAAAATTAATTTTTATTGAATACAGTACACGGTTAGCAGATTTGGAAACCGACATCTTGATCAGAATTTTTTTCTCTATCGAACTAGCTAGCTCTCGTTCAAAAACTCCAATATCACCCAAAAACGACTCCTTGTTAGATGGATCAGGATGTATCGTAGTACTAAACTAAGACCCAAAATATATATTAATAAGGCGAATTTAAACTCGAAATGGCTTAATTGAACATTATTGCCCTGTTCTTGGTCGATATTTAGCTCTTAAAAATTGTTATAACTTTGAAATTTAATTTTTTTAACAGAAGTGCTGCAAAAATGGTCCATTAATACCGTATTAACAGCAAAATACAATGCAAAATACTGGCAATGGTGTTAAACCAGCTTGGCGGGAGTTTTTTGGCCAACCCCCTATTTGACCCTTAAAAGCCGGGCCCGGGCCGAGAAAAATCGCTTCGGGCCGGGCCGGGCCGGGCCGGCGAAATCGGGCTGGCGGGCCGGGCCGGGCCGGCCCGGCCCGCAAAATTCCCAGGCCTGCTCTCCCTCTCTCCCTCTCTCTCTCTATCGCTCTCTCTTTTGGCCTTTCTCACTCTATCCCTCTATCTCTGTTTCTCTCTAGCGCTCTCTATGTGTTTCTGTCGCTCCCCCCCTCTCTCTCTTTCT